AAGTAACATCTTCGAGAAAGGTTTCAATTTTTATAAGTGGTAGATGTATTATATTGTAATTTGGAAAATAACTTTAAATTTACAATATAACAATAGGTAAGTATATACTGGTCAAACGTTGTGTCTACATATAAATGATAAATTATGCCTATATACAAAGTATATTGTACCAATCTGGAAAACGAATATTGACTCTTAAAAAAAAAAAAACAAGATGGTGAAAGAGGAAGGCGCGGAGAAATGTGTGAAGTGTTTAAATGAATTTGATGGAGATATTGTTAATGGATGTGAAAGGAAACCTAAACAATGGTATCATGTGATATGTGTCAATTTAACGATAAAACAATATAAACTCATAAAAGACTGTTGCGGGGTGAAATCGTATTGTACAGAGTGTTACCAAGAGAAGGAGGTTACGACAGACAACACCACATAAATTATGAATAAAATTAGGAGAATACAAGATGGGATCAAAAAACCACAGCAACAAAGCAAATCAGAGAAGATTCGTTAAAAATAATAAAGAACCCACTAACTATGCAAGGGCACTAAAAATGAAAACAGATGATAAGAAAAAGGAATGTACACTAATTGTTGAATCAAATAAAAGAGAAAACAATTCGAAAGTTATACAAGACAAAATCAAACAAACAATAAATATATAAGAAATCAGAATAGGTGTAAGTGAGATAAAAAGTCTAAACAATGATCGACTTGCAGTAATTTGTGATAGTGAAGAAGATAGAGATAAACTAAAACAAGAGATGGAAACGAGGATATCAAAGGATATCAAGATATATGAATTTGAAAATAGGATAGGAAGTATGTAGAGTATTTGAACACTGCAACGTTATGAGATGTTTTAAGAGTAGTGGGTACAATCATAAGACAAACAATTGTACCAACATTCGAAGTTGTGGGAAATGTGGTGAGGAAGACCATAGTGCCAAAGAATGTGAAAATAATTATAAATGCTGCGTAAACTGCAAAACAACAAATACAAAGTTCAACCTAAACCTACCCACTAACCATATGACAGAAGAAATTGTCTACCAAAGGAATGAAGAGTACTACAAGAAAAGGATTGAATATATCCCAACACAATAGCAACTACATCCAAGTAATGGCAAAATATATTTGCAGAATGCACAAAGTATCCGTGTAAATATTGATGAAATACATAATTTTGTAATTAACAATAAACCTATTTGCACGTGTTTATCTGAAATCCATTAACTGATTAAATAGATGATGCTGAAGTAGAAATTGAGAACTACAATATACATAGAGTGGATTCCACAAGTAGATCAACAGGAGAGGTACTAATATATACTAGAAGTGATATAATAACCACATTAATTGGAAGATACACCCAAATAATTAATTTTTGAATAATAGTGATAAAAATAGAAATAAGTAAAAGTGGTATAATATTAGGGTATTTATGTAGGTCACCTAGTGCATCTTGTGCTACATTTTGTACTTTCTTCGATGAATGGTTGGAAGAGTTAATGGAAAGTGTCAATTGCCCTGTGATACTACTAGGAGACTTTAATATAGACTATAAGACAAATAGAACTTATTCAAAAAGGCTGAAAACTACTGTATAAAACAATGGTTGTAAGCAATGTGTTACAGAATACACACATGTATCACCCACTGACAGTAATAGTATGATTGACTTAGTTTTAAGTAATGATAGTTCAAATATAATAGTTGAAGTATTAGGGAAGCCAAATTTCAACAACCATATGTTAATTAGTATTAGTTTAGAAGTTAACGAAACTGTAAATAACAAAAAGAAAACTGTTCATAGCAAATTAACAGATATAAATAATTTTAAAAATTTAAATTAATATATTTTTTGATTTTAGAAAAGATAGTTTAGAGAAAATAGAAATGTTCTGTGATAATATCACACAGATATTGAATACCTAATGCCAAAAAATGTATAGAAATAAGACAAAGAAACAAACCGTGGATGGATGAAGAGGTATTAAAAGCAATTAATGATAGGGAAGTGCAATTTAAGAGATTTAAATACACCAAAGATGAAAAAGACTGGGATTTATATAAAACATTTAGAAATAGAGCATTATCAACAATCAGAACAGAAAAAGTGGACTACTATAATAGGACTACAGATAACTGCCAGAAAGATACAAAAGTGATGTGGAAAATACTAAAAGCAATCATTAAAGACAGCAATCAGGAAACGTATGATGAAATATTGATAAAGGAAAAAACTATTATAAATAAGAAGGAAGTACCAGAGAGATTTAGCAAATATTATATTGTAGCGAGCACGAGCGTGTTTGTGTGCGATCGGGCATACGTGTGAGTGAGCAGCTTATCAATTCGCTGACTAGCCGCGGGCGCCTTTCTTCATGTGCGCCGTATCTGTAAACGTGTGTGTCGTACCTGCGTTCCGGGAAAGCAATTAAACAGTTCAAAGAAAACGAAACTTTTTCGGACGGCTCGAGAAAGTTCTCGAAGGGAAGCAAGGGAGTATTTAAAGGAAGAGACGATCGCCGAAAGGGAGTAGAAATAAATTGACCATTGCAGAAGTGAATCTAGTGTGGCGATTTGATAGTTTTTAAGAAAGTAATTAGTTTTTTAGAGTAAGGTATTGAGTGTGTGGTTGTATATATTTTTTGGTATGTCTGTGATGCATGTATTTGTGTGTTTGGAATTTCTGTATTATTGTATTATTATTGTGTAAATATTCTTTTCTTATAATTCTATTTTTATACTTACTCTATTCTATACCTACTCTATACCTATTCTTCAGCTAAACGACTATTTAATTGCCTACGTACTTTGCTATCATCCCTTTTAACAATTCAACTCTGTATACTAACTGCATGACGTCTATAATTCTTACTTTTCCTAATTGCAGTTTTATGGTCAGTTTCTTCGGTGATTTGGGGTCAAACTTAATTTCTAGGTATTTCTTCTAAACTAAATTTCCAGGTTTTACTACCATCTTATTGGTTCCCTACTTTAATTAACTTATTTCTAACTCCTCCTTATCACCCTTCTTACGATCTCTTTTTCAAAAACTAAAATCAGTTCTGACTTATCCTTCCTAATTTCAACTTCACCATTCTACATTCTTAATTCTAGTCTTCATTTTTTTGTTCTTGTTTATTAAAGTTGTTATCGTATTCTGCGTTCTATTATTTAACCACCTCAACATCAGGACACACAACGAGACTAAAGTGGTGACCCCGTAGTTTTTTTTGTGCGTCAGTGTTGTGTTAAGTCCTAACTGTTAATAATAGTGAGAGGTGACAGACAATTGTAAGTACTTTTTTGAGTAACATTTTAGTGTAACATCTTGTGCGGTAGATTTAAGTGTAAATAGACTAGATTTTAGTGACCGTAATATAAGCGAAATGGCTAATTCAGAAGAACAATTAAACGTGCTGGAAAATGGCTTCGCAATTAGTCACGTCGCAGTGCGTATTCCGCCATTTATCCCGAACGATCCAGAACTATGGTTTTCGATGGTCGAAGAGAACTTTACAACAGCCGGTGTGACAAAGGATGCGACCAAATTTGGGTACATTACCGGAGTGTTAGAACCGCGGTATGCGTTAGAAGTGCGCGATATAATAGTGAACAAACCCACGACCAACGCGTACGGTGTGTTAAAATCTGAACTCATAAAACGCCTCAGCACGTCCCAAGAGCAAAAGACGCGGCGCCTGCTAGAATTGGAAGAAATGGGCGGCAGGAAGCCTTCCCAATTTCTGCGCCACTTGCAAACTCTCGCTGGTCCGACCGTTCCCGACACCATGCTGCGGACATTGTGGTTTGCCCGTCTTCCGCCCAATATGCAAGCTATCCTAGCGGCACATCGAGACTTGTCTCTTGTCAAAATAGCCGAATTAGCGGACTCCATTGCTGATCTAACCGACCATCGCCCACGCATCGCGGAAGCAACCCCTTCGGCTGGTGATGTCCTAGCCGCTCAACTGCAACAATTAACGGTCACACTCCAACAACAAATTTCATCCCTGCGTCAAGAAGTGTCAGAATTAAAAAGTCAGACCCGTTTCCGAGAAAGGTCACGCTCCCGTCCACGATCGAGATCCCGGAACCGCCACCATCCCGATGGACTCTGCTGGTATCATCGCAGATATAGTTCCCGCGCAAATAAATGTACACAGCCATGTTCATTTATAACAAATGCATGTAACCAGGGAAACGCCAGCGGCAGTCGTTAATGGCGGCAAACGACAGCCAATTTAACATTTCACGCCGCATTTTTATCACCGACTCAGGCACGAACATGCAATTTTTGGTGGACACGGGCGNGAAAAGAATAAAAATATAACAAACTCTACTTTTATTGGATCTGTAAATTATAATGAGCTATCAGTTGAAATATTCAATTTTGAAAAAAAAAGCAGCTGGAGTTGACGATATTGGGGTCTCCGTCTTACACTGTATAGTGGATTTTATTGCTTCAGCCTTGATTTTTGATTTGTGATTGCTGAAATTGAGCCGATTCACAAGACTGGAAACAAGACTGTACTAATTACATCTCTCAGTTGAAACATAGCAAAGCTGTTTTACAAGCTTATTTATACACTGCTTTCTTTTCTTGATAATCATAATGTCATTTCAGATTGACAGTTTGGTTTCAGGAATTCAGGAAAGATGCTTTGAAGTTTATTGTGGATAGAGTACTGAGCAATATAAACAAAAATAATAAAGTTATTGTTGCTTTTTTTGATTTAAAAAATGCATTTGATGACCACAATTTGCTGTTGAATAGGCTAAATAATACACGTGTACGTCCTCTCCCTTCTCTCCTCGACGAATCGAACGTCGAATTCACCACCAATCAGCTTCGCCACGACAGGGACCTTCACGTCGTTCTTCGCGGATTCTGTGAGTCAGTCAACGGACAACATACAGTCCGAGTTGACTCATAAAGGCTTTGCCATCCGTGACAATCTTCGAGCTTGGCAATCTGCGGGCTCAACATCAAATTTGAACCAGTCGTCTAATAAATTACCCGCAATATAAATGCAAATTATTTGGAAGAAAACGTAAACTGCTTGTTGATATATGGGCAAGTATAAATCTTTTAATTTTTTTCGGTTATTTACCTAAAATTAGGGAAGAAGGTAGCACGTTACTTAATGGCATCAGTGGTCATCCTTTTTCTTCATTGGGTACTAATTAAAATAGTAGTGGATTCTTTTTCTGTTAAATTTCACGTTATTAATAATTCGAATTTAGAAGTGAATGTAACTTTAGGAAATAGATTTTTCTCAGATAATAATGTTCAAATTGATTATAAAACCAATGTAATTAGATTTCTCAACAATAGACAAGTGAAATTTACACCAAATAAAAACATCATATCACAATTCAACCAAGATGTGAACATATTTTATTAAGATTCCGATTCAAGCTAAAGTAAACAAGGAATATCATTTTCCAAAATTGAATATTGAAAATAATGTAATTATCCAATTTGACCAATGAAGAACAAACTTTAGAAATCGAAAACATTGAACTATTGCCATATGATTCTAACTCAATAAACACCTTGATAAATAAAACTAATAATAACAGTGAAGTAAACAAGCAACATCGTATTAAAGAACTTTTGAAACAGATTAGGGCTGAACATTTAAACGTGGGAAAACAATCAATATTTAGTTTAATTGTCAAATATAATATTTTTTATTTGATAGGAGATATTTTCACAAGTACAGATACATTAGAACATAAGACAATAACAACTGATGAATCACCAGTGGTGGCTAAAGCTTATCGATATCCTCAAGTGCATAAACAGGAGGTTGAAAAACAAATAAAAAAATTACTTGAAGATGGTGTTATTCATCCCAGTTTCTCACCTTGGAGCTCTCCATTATGGATTGTGCCAAAAAAACGTGTTGAGTCAGGTAAAGTAAAGTGGCGTATGGTAATTTATAACCGTGAACTTAATCAAAAAACTGTTGGCAATAAATACCACCTTCCTTTAATTGAAGAAATCTTAGACTCCTTGGGACGTGCGACCTACTTCACCGCATTAGACCTAACATCGGGGTTTCATCGGATTAGAGTAGAAATAAATTCCGTCCCTAAAACAGCATTTACGGCTAGCAGGAAATTGTATGAATTTTTAAGTATGCCTCTCGGCTTAAAGAATGCACCTTCCACCTATCAACGCGCAATGAACCTAGCACTTAGCAGTTTAACGCCATTTCAGTGTATGGTCTATATGGACGATATAATAGTTTACGGAAACTCTCTAGTTGATCATAATAATAAATTACAAAACGTTTTTGAAAGATTAAGACAGCACAATCTTAAAATACAACTAGATAAGTCTGAGTTCTCGCGCAAGGAAACGAACTTTTTGGGCCAAGCGATTTCAACAGAGGGCATCAAATAAAATGCAAATCATTAAAGATTACCGTATCCCAAAACTCTCCAAACAAATTAAATCTTTTCTTGGCGTAACGGGATATTACCGGAAGTTTATTTCAAATTATGATAATTTAGCAAAACAGATGACTAAATTATTTAAAAAAATGAAAGCTTCGAGTGGAGTAACGATTGTCAAAATTCTTTCGCTATTTTTCAAAATCTCAGCTTTAGCGAACCTTTCCTTCTAACGACTGATGCCTCAAACTACGCGATTGACGCAGTGTTATCACAAGGACCCTTAAAAAACGATCTACCTATAGCATACACATCATGGACTTTAAATCCGGCAGAGACACGATACTCTACTATAGAGAGGGAATTACTTGCGATTGTTTGGGCGATAAAGCATTTCCGACCTTATCTTTACGGAATAAAGTTCACAATAATAACGGACCACCAGCCACTGAAATTATTGTTTTCCGCTAAAGTTCCTAATTCTAAGCTAATGCGTTGGCGCCTAAAGCTAGCAGAATATGANGAGGTATTATTACCTCCACTCCGTATGAAGCATAGTTTAACGAAACAATTTGATAAAAAGTTGAACAAAACAGGTGGATGTATCCAAATTTCTATGTGAAAAATTTCCTGGTCTATCAGAAGTGAAGGTTAAAGAGTCCCCAAAGTGAAACTCTAAACTGATGAATTCGAAAAGATAATAAACATCGCCGAAAAGAATTCCTGGAAAGCTTTTAAGTTGCAAATAATTTTTTGGAAATAATGTCAATATGATGATTGACACTGTCCAGTCTATTTTGTACTCATCTACACGAATTAATTGTAAAACTGGGCGTAAAAATTGGGTCAGAAACAAATAGATTACGAACGATCTCATAACCTCTTGTAATAACAAGCAAGTATTATATAAGTTGTTAAAAAATCACCCCGGCAATACTGACATGAAAGAGCTTTCTTTATAAGCCTTATTGCAAAATACTAAATAAATTAATAATGCAGGCTAAATTAATGTTCGAGAGAAATGAGGTATCAAAACTAAGGAATGAACCAAGAAAACTGTGGCAGTACCTAAACAAAAAAATAAAAGGACAAAATAAGTCTAACAACAAAATTAAACTGCACGATATGGATGGTGATGTGACTGATAGTGACATTGGTGTTGCGAATTGTTTCACTGACTTTTTCAGTAGGATTGGTGTGGACTTGGCGGACGAGATCCCAATACTAAATAACACAGTTCGTGAAAAGAATAAAAATATAACAAACTCTACTTTTATTGGATCTGTAAATTATAATGAGCTATCAGTTGAAATATTCAATTTTGAAAAAAAAAGCAGCTGGAGTTGACGATATTGGGGTCTCCGTCTTACACTGTATAGTGGATTTTATTGCTTCAGCCTTGATTTTTGATTTGTGATTGCTGAAATTGAGCCGATTCACAAGACTGGAAACAAGACTGTACTAATTACATCTCTCAGTTGAAACATAGCAAAGCTGTTTTACAAGCTTATTTATACACTGCTTTCTTTTCTTGATAATCATAATGTCATTTCAGATTGACAGTTTGGTTTCAGGAATTCAGGAAAGATGCTTTGAAGTTTATTGTGGATAGAGTACTGAGCAATATAAACAAAAATAATAAAGTTATTGTTGCTTTTTTTGATTTAAAAAATGCATTTGATGACCACAATTTGCTGTTGAATAGGCTAAATAATACACGTGTACGTCCTCTCCCTTCTCTCCTCGACGAATCGAACGTCGAATTCACCACCAATCAGCTTCGCCACGACAGGGACCTTCACGTCGTTCTTCGCGGATTCTGTGAGTCAGTCAACGGACAACATACAGTCCGAGTTGACTCATAAAGGCTTTGCCATCCGTGACGTCCAATGTTGGCAAAATTTGGCCACTAGTGTCCGTTCGCCTTCACAGAGCGGACAAGAAATCCAAGGCAATCTTCGAGCTTAGCAAGATCTACGGGCTCAACATCAAATTTGAACCAGTCGTCTAATAAATTACCCGCAATATAAATGCAAATTATTTGGAAGAAAACGTAAACTGCTTGTTGATATATGGGCAAGTATAAATCTTTTAATTTTTTTCGGTTATTTACCTAAAATTAGGGAAGAAGGTAGCACGTTACTTAATGGCATCAGTGGTCATCCTTTTTCTTCATTGGGTACTAATTAAAATAGTAGTGGATTCTTTTTCTGTTAAATTTCACGTTATTAATAATTCGAATTTAGAAGTGAATGTAACTTTAGGAAATAGATTTTTCTCAGATAATAATGTTCAAATTGATTATAAAACCAATGTAATTAGATTTCTCAACAATAGACAAGTGAAATTTACACCAAATAAAAACATCATATCACAATTCAACCAAGATGTGAACATATTTTATTAAGATTCCGATTCAAGCTAAAGTAAACAAGGAATATCATTTTCCAAAATTGAATATTGAAAATAATGTAATTATCCAATTTGACCAATGAAGAACAAACTTTAGAAATCGAAAACATTGAACTATTGCCATATGATTCTAACTCAATAAACACCTTGATAAATAAAACTAATAATAACAGTGAAGTAAACAAGCAACATCGTATTAAAGAACTTTTGAAACAGATTAGGGC